GTTTCCCTAACTTTATCATTTTGTGGGTAACTTTACTCCCTTGCATGTGCATGAGCTTCCTTCACCTCCACCAACTCTCCGGTGTTTTACCTCACCCCTACTTTCTACCCCGCCTCCTCCCTCTACCCCATTCCCTCAGTAATCAGTCTATTGTTCACAGAGTGTAAACATTATTCTTGCTGTACTTTGCCAGTTTGTTTCTTTGCTTATTTAAATTCTGCAAATGAATGAAATCTTCAGGTCTCTGTCCTTTACTTTCTGACTTATATCACTTAGCATCACCACCTCAAGGTCCATCCATTTGTTGCAAAAGGTGCTATTTTGTTGTTTTCAGTAGCTGAGCAGTATTCCCTTGTGTATATATTCCACGGCTTCTTCACCCAGTCATCTGTCATCGACAGTGAGGTGGGACGTGACTTGGCAATTGTGGACAGTGCTGCTGTGAACTTAGGAAGATGTAAATCTTTCTGAATTAATGTTTTCATATTCTTTGCGGAAATACTTGGACGAGGTTGCTGGATCATATGGAATACCTATTATTATTTTTTAAGGACACTCCATACTGTTTTCCAAAGAAGCTACACTAGATTCCCCCCAGCAGTGGATAAGGGTTCCTCCCTCTCCACCCCGTCACCAACATTTATTATTTCCAGCTTTTGTTATTTGTGATATGGGGCATTCTCACTGGGTGAGGTGATATCTCATTGCAATTTTGGCCTGCGTTTCTCTTGTAATACAGTGATGTTGAGTATCTTTTCATGTGCACATAAGCCTCCTGAATGTCCTCTTTCAAGATGTATCTATTAGGTCTTTTGTCAATTTTCAGATGGGTTTTTTTTTGTTATTGTTGAGCCATATAAATTCTTGTATATTTTGGAAATCAACCGCCAGTCAAACCTGTGATGGACAAATATCTTCTCCCAGCCCGTAGGTTGCCTTTTTGTTTCTGTGATGGTTTCTTTTGAGGCACCAAAGCTTTTTGACTGTGATGGATTCCCCCTTGCTTATTTTTGGTTTTGTTTCCTCTGCTGTTGAAGTTGTGACCCCAAATATATCTTTGAAGTTAATGCCCAGAAGTGTCTCACCTACGCTTTCTTTTAAGCATTTTGCAGTTTGGGGTCTTACATCCAAGTCTTTAATCCATTTTGAATTAATTTTGTATATGGAGTCATGTAACACTCTAGTTTCACACGTTTGCATGAGGCTGACCGTGTTGTCCAGCACCCTTGGCTAAGGAGGCTTCCTCCCTGCCTCCCACCTCCCCCGGGGCAGCAGCGGAGCCTCCAGAGTTGCTGCCAGTATTCTCCCTGCTACCCACCATCCTACCGTGTCCATCCATGGCATCAGCTTCTGATGTGGGCACGAGAGAGGAGAGGATACTGCTGAGGCCAGGGGAAGACCCCCTGTCCCCACACTGTCCCATAGCTCGAGCTGCTCCTCCTCCAGGAGAAGGCTGTCCCCGCTGCTGCAAGAGGTCAACCCACTTGGCTTCAGCCACCCTGAGTAAGAGAGTTAATTGGTGGGCCTTTCTGGTGGCACCAGGGGTTAAGACGCAATCTATGAAGCTATCCCCAGTCACTGCAGCACGAGTTCGATCCCCAACCAGGGAGATGACCCACATGATGCAGCAGACCTCTCTTGCCTCGCCCGCTGCTCCCCTTAGCAGTGTATTTCAGTCAGTCTGCCTATTCTGCTCCCCGCTCTGTCTCTGGTGAATCCTCTCACCCCCGACACCTCTGGGCTGTGCCCCAGTTCTTGTATGCATAAATAAATAAATCTTTATTTTTTTTAAAAAAAGAGTGTTATGTGGCAACAGTTGAAAACAGAGGGTTAATCATCTTCCATGTGACATTGGTTAAGGCCTTTCTCATATGTCCCTAAGTGGGTGGACTTGGAGCCAACAGAGGGGCAGCTGGAGCTGCCACCTGAGACTCGTTTTCCAGGCAGGATCTCTGAACTGCCCCCCCACTCCACTCAGGGCCCTCTTCTGAGAGGTGAGCCTGGCTAACAGTGATCATCAGCATCCTAATAAAGATCATCAGCCTCAAGTTAAAGTTATTTTAATGTGGATAAACATCGCTTTGAAAAGGAGCACCATGGAAGGCGTCCCTGGGGACCTGGCCACAGTGGTTGGTGATCTCACCTGCTTTTATGCGACCTCTGTGGTTGGCACTGTTATGGATTCATCACAGAGCTGGGCACGCAGAGGCCAGTGGCCTTGACCCTCTGGCCTGAATGGGCAACCTCTTCTCACCCTCTGCCCACCTTGAGCAGAAGCTCCGGCCTGGTGTCCCTCTCCTGGGATCTGCAGGGCTCACAGGCCCTGTTGATTCAAAGGAGAGATTTTGCCTGACTGGGCCGCCTGAAGGCTCTGACATCTCCGCCAGCCCTCTTTCTGCATGCTCAGACATCTCTTGTTCAGAGGTCACTGCTTGCTGCACTGACACCGTGGCCCTGCCAGTTGAGGGGGTTCTGCTCCAGGGGCCAGAGCTGCCTTCTACCTACCCTGGACAGTCCTGGATCTGGGATTGGGGCTTCCCAGTTTAGCCTGGGGTGTCCTGTACCCTAATGTTAATCCTCTGTGACCTGTATGAGGGGCTGAAACTTGCATCCGACAAATGAACACACCTTGTGACTCTGCTGATGACCTTAGCTCCTTAGGCGGACTGGCCGCTCTCCCCTGTCCAACTGAATCATTGCTGGTGCCCTTCCTGTCCTGTCCATCATCAGGGGTGAGCTGCTGTGATCTCAGAATCTCATCGTCCCCCCACTTTCCATCACCTGCCCCTCCAGCCCTCCCTCTCTCCTGTCCTCCCTCGCTCCACCCTCTCTCTCCGTCTGTTTGGCTCGGTCTTTCTCATCCTCTCCAAAGAGACCTCAGGGCCATTCCCAGTGGGAGAACGAAGCAGTGATGCTGTTTAAAAATGCTGTCTGACAAAGGGGTGGGAGGATTTTACTTGGTAAAGAGAAAGTCAGAGAGAGAACTTCCTGGAGAAACCTGTCAAGTAGTTTCTTATTCCAACCTGCACATCTTGTTGGCGGGGCTGTCAGTCTTTGGCAGGAGCCTATGGAAACCTTCTAATTGTGCTCATTGTGCTGAGGGAGATTATGTCTCATCATGGACATCCCCTGAAGACCTCAGGCCCCCTTTCTGGAGAGGCGGGCCCAGTGCATCTAGGGTGGGCGTCATTCCTTGAGACTGGAGACGAGCGAGCTCCAGCCACAGCTGCACCTACCAACTCATCACAGACGAGCAGGATGTGCTGGGAGGGCCACACCGGCGTCCTGTCTTCTGGTCTAAACACCAGATCGATTCTCCTTCACATCTGGCCTCCAGTGGCCATGTAACAAGCCACAGTTTCTAGGGAGAGATCTAGAGAACTGGCTAAGATCCTGTCACCTCCAACCTTTTTGACCTTTGCTCTAGTGTTTTCTCGATTATCTGGTTGTCCATGACAGAAAACAGTGGCTAATCTAAATCAAAAATGGAAGTCTATTACAGGGATATGGGGTCGTTCATAAGAAGAACTGGACCACAGAGCTCACAGGAGACAGAACCAGGTCTGTTCTGGTGGACAGAACAATAGGAAATGACCTGCAGTCTCCTCAGGGCACCAGCCACGGGATGAGTCAGCAACAGCAGCTTCTGTCCTCACATCACTCTGCTCGAGATTCAAATTCTCGTGAGAGACAGGGACTAATTGGCCTGGCTGGGAGGTGTGTGGGCACGACCCAGATCACCCTGCTTGGCTGTCCATACTGACTCTTTGCCATGAAGAAGAGGGAAAATCAAGGTCTGTCACCAGAGGAAGGGGACATGGGTGCTGGGAGGCCATGGTGTCACCCTCCCACCACCAATCCTAATCTTCTATGCCTGTCTTTGTCCTGCCTCCCCTGCTCCCACTCGGCCACCCTCTGGGTTTGGTGGTGTGCCCAGCCTCCCTCCTGAGGCTTTATGCCTTAGGTCTCCACCCATTCATTTATTCATTCACTCACTCCTCCAGCAAGAATGCATTGGGCACCTCCAAGGAGTCATGGGGGCTTTGTGCCTCCTTTAACATCCTCTGTTGTCCCCTCAATCAAACCTCCCTGCCTCACGCGATCTCAGTCCGTCCTAGACTGCTACCCATGTCTGGCCAGTTCCGGGCCCAAATGATGTAGGAAGGATGAGAAAGGGATTTGGAAAAATGTGACTTTCTATATGAGTAAAGGGTTGGTGGTAACTTTTAGTCATTACTACCAGGGATTGATTGTGTCCCTTAGATGGGGCAGATGAGTTAGAGTGAGGGAGTGGGAGAAAGATCTGGGTGTCTGGGGCACTGACAAAGGCAGTTCATTTGGGTGACAAGAAATGATTAAGGGGCCTCCCTGGTGGCACAAGGGGTTAAGCACAGCACTATGAAGCTGTCCGCAGCCACTGCAGCACGAATTCGATCCCTGGCCAGGGAGCTGACCCACATGGCACACAGACCTCTCCTGCCTAGCCCGCTGCTCCCCTCAGCAGTGTATTTCAGTCAGTCTGCCTGTTTTGCTCCCCACTCTGTCTCTGGTGAATCCTCTCACCCCCCACACCTCTGGCCTGTACCCCAGTTCTTCTATGCAAAAATAAATAAATTTTAAAAAAAAGGAAATGACTAAGGACATGGGTCCCCGGGTGCTTAAGTGGAGATAGAGTCACCTGCAGATAGAAGTGAAGAATAGACAGTGTGATGAAGAAAAATAACCTCTGACTTCGAGTCTGGGGGTCTAGCCCTAACATCCACCAGCTGAGCATCTCGGGATTCTGACAGGTCTGTCTGCTACATTCTGCCCACAGAGAAAAAATCCAGCCTTCAGATTTGACGTATTCCTTCCACTACATATCACTGTGGGTTCACAATTCCTCTTTATGCCAAAGCCAAAGGAAACAATCCCAACAGCCTGTCACCTAAATCACAGGAGATTTATTACTTTCAACCAGGGAGAGGCTAGCTACAAGCGGAGCATCACACACCCCTGGGAAGACATGGTCCAGCTCTCAGTGTCCTCGGCAGCCCATCAGCAGGTCATTCGTCAGAGCCCCGCCTTCGTGGTGGTGACCTGGAGTCAAAAAGAGAACTCAGAATTGTGTCCTCTGGGAGAGAGGAACATTGGGGAGATCCTGACTCCCCATGTCTCCAATAGTTTGTTAGGATCAGTTTAATCATCTCCCTAGAACAGGAAGACTATCATTTAAATCAATCCTGGGCATTTACTCTCTGGGCAGTGGACAGTGGGAATGGAACACAGCTGTCCTTCCACATACAGGGGGTGATGGCCAAGTTGAGTGCCTTCTGGACCACAGGAGGTCAGAAAGCCTGGGGCTGCTGATGTTCTTTGCAATGCTGGTTAGTGATATGAGCAGACCTGGGAGAAGATGTGTAGCTAAGAGGCCTTTTTGGGCAGACCACCAGGGGGACATTGTTTTGCCCTTGGCTAAACCACCTCCCCAAACCATAGCCGTGGACCAGGGCTGTTTCTTGGGATGCAGACCAACCCTCAGGGTGGAGTTGTGCTGGCCATAGCACCCCAAGCACTCAGGATGGCAGGTGCCAAGTTTTAAAGCTATAGGTGAGTGTGTTTGTGCTGAGGATTAAAAATCAACCTGTGGACACCTGTCATAGTCCATTATAACAAACCCAGAGACTGGGTGACTTATAATCAATGTAAATTTCTCTCTTGCAGTTCTGGAGGCCGGAGGTCTAAGACCAAGGTGCCAGCAAGGTCAAGTTCTTCTGGGAACCCTCTTGTGGATTGAAGCCTCCTTATGCCCTCATATGCTGAAAGGGATGAGTTCATATGCTGGGGCCTCTTTTATCAGGGCACTCGTGAGGGCCTAGACCTCATGACCCAATAACCTTCTGAGAGACACCTCCACCCCTCCTAATGCTATCACCTGGGCCTTAAGTTTTCAATATGTCAGCTTGGGGGGGGAGGAGAAAGCACACCATGCTTCAGACCATAGCAACATCTGGAACATCTGGAAGTGAAGTCTACCACTCTAGGGAGTGGCAAGAGCTCAGAGACCTAATAGACCAAAAGAGGCCTGAGAATGCTCATGTGCAGATGCTATAAGGACAGTGGAGAAAAGAGTCAAAACTGGGCTTGGGTTTCCCCACATCAGGGAGAAGCCTTCCTCCTTTGACGTGAATTCTTATCCAGCTAGTCTCCTACCCTTTAGGGGTTCTGAGGGTGGAGGCCACATTTCACCCTATATATTAGTCCCTCAGTGCTTAGCATAGGGCCATGAAAAGGGGCAGCAAACACCTGTAGAATGAGCTATACATATTCAGAAGGAATGCAGGAGTAAACCATGAGCATTAAGACAGAAAGAAACATCATCACAAAGTTTATGGGCTCATGCAGATCACTTCAGGGGTGAAGTATTTGGGCAGGACATAGTGGGGGGCACCATCTTGAACTGGAACATGTCCCATGTCTTGCAACAGCTTCTCTGTTTCCATGAGGATGAACATTTGGACCAGATATGAATTGTGCTGTGTGCCAATGAGGCCAGATCTTTTGAGTATTTCAAAAGAAACCTGAAATCTATATCTTAAAAATGATGACTCCACATTTTTAGTGTTGGCAACTAATCCAAATGTAAAATAAGACAAAGATTCATGTGAAGCCTTCCAAAGCCATCCTCTGGCTGAGTTCAAACCACCCCTGTCTCTTCCTTGCCTGGGTGGGGAGACAAAGGCCTAGGCCTGGGCATGACCTGCCCAAGGGTCACTGGAACAAGCAGAAGACTGTATGGGGAGGACAGCAAATAAATGCTCGGGGGCGTCCCATGCATTCTGAGTGGCAGGAAATCTCTCCTCTCCCTGGGGCCTGAGCTTCATTATCCAGCCTCCTGTAAGAAGGTTCTGGAATGGGCAGGCCACGTCTCCAACCTAATTGTCACCAAGAGGTCACCTTCATGCTCTCTGCATCATCAATGCTCCTTTTAGGACCACCTCCCCATCAGAGCTTCCAAAGCAAATGGAGCTAGAGAGGAATGGATCTTTGGGGCTTAGTTGATAACCTTGACCTTGAGGGTCTGGGAACAGGCAGCCCTGTAAACCTGTTAACTCTGTGCAGCAAAAGAGATGCAGGGAGGAGGGACAAGAAACTGCTCGGTAAAGAGTAATGGAGGTGAGCCCCTCCCTCTTCACCCCCAGGAACTATTGCCTGAGGCCCAGGGATGATTTGTTTGCCCACAAATCTAAATGAGATGACAAGAAAATCATCCCATTGGCTGAGAATGACTTGTTAATTAGGAAATAAAACCAGGGTCTGTCCTCTCAGAGCTGTTTGGGTTTGTGGGAGTTTGTTTGCTTGTTTTATTGAGTGGGTGGCTGCAGCCATCATGATAAAAGAGAGCTGATAAACAGAAAACACAGAAATCATTTAGCCATCAGCCCAAAGTGGGGGCTAGTGGGGGCGGGGCTCACGATTTCAGTGTTGGGGAGGAAGCCAGCAGCTGTGCTTGTCAGCTCTGCTTTTTTGTGCCAGAATAGACCTCTCTGCCCCGGCGAACACTCCAAATCTCTCATCTGCTTCTCCTGCCCCTGCAGCCTAGTCATTGAAGTCCAGGTTCAAGCTCACAGTCACGTATGGGTATGAGCTTGGTGGGGAATTTCCTGCATGCAGGGAATCCTCTTTAAGAAACAAAAGAGCACACGTTCAGGTATGAGGGTGAGTGCTGATTTAGAGTGTACAAAGAAATTATGTCAGTGTGCAATGTGGAGTACCCCACATACCAAGGATACATGTCCCAATTTGGGGTCCAGCCATACACCGCATAAAGATGAAAGCAGACTCTTAGTGTGATAGATCTTTAGTAGAATGAGTGTGCACAGAGAGGGAGAGAAGAGAGGGTGTTCCTAACGACAGTTTCCCACTAAAACTTCCGAAATTACCCCTCCCCTTGGGGGCAAATGCCCAGCCAACCAGGGTAGGCCTGAAGCTGGGACGCTGAGGCCTGAAACCTTGCTTCAAGTCTAAGGTACCTTTTGGTTGAGAAACACAAGAAAATGGTGAAAGGGGGCAGGCAAGCCTGGAAGAAAAGGAGCAAACTCCAAGTACAAGAAAAATGCAGCCATTGTCAGCGCCACGCCTCCCCGCCCCCCACAAGTGTCTTCACCCACGTGTCTCTCTCAGAGGTCTCCACTATCTCTCCCATGCTTCTCCTTCGAGACCCCCATCTCCTGGAGGCAAGCCAGAGAAACAAGCGCCCTTTTGCAGAACCCACCTGCCTTCCGTGTGACGTAGCTTCCCCGGCCCCTCTGCTGCACCCTTAGCTCCAGCAGCTAGTCCAAGGCCACTGCAGGTAAGTGGGGGCAGGGGACACAGTACCTCCCCCTAACAATAATGAATGAGAAAAATTTTAAATCTGCCAAGTCCCTCAAATATCAGAAAAATTAGAAAAATAACATAGTGTTTGTGTTAATTGCAGGCACCTCTCCAATACCTTCTTATTCTCTGTGTTTTGGCTTCATACTCTTTGTTTGCATATTTATATACCAATGATAATGTATACAATCTTTCTACAGAGAGAAGGGAAAGAAATTTTGTGCACCAGAAAGTGTCCATTTTGGTGAGGCGTGAGTGAGGTCCCACTCCTGAACTTCCCCCCCGGACTGAGAACAATATTAGAACAATGTCTCGCAGACAAATTTCCTGCCTGCCCATTTTTTTCACTTTCTTCTGGTGCTGAGCACAGTTCATGTGTTCTTCTGGGACCTGGCCCAGATATTGGGCCATCATGTTGGGTGGCAAGGCAACTCAGTGACAGTGAGGGCTGGAACGTTCCTGAAAGTCATTCCCACACCAGAACAGCTGCCTCTGCTTACTCGATTTAGGATTTCCTAGAAGCCATATGCTCTCTCTGGAGCCCCTGCTTCCAGGAACCCCTGCAGATCCCCAAAGCCACAGTGCAAGTCCCTTACATAAAATGTAGCATTTGATTTAACGGCCACATACTCACACATTGTGCATAACACCTACTGCAATGTCAACACTATGTAGATAGCTTTGCTACTGTTTTATTTCAGAAATAACGACCAAAGGGTGTCTATACATGTTCAGTACAGGGGCAACTATCCAAGGGCTATTATACGTAGTATAATTTTTATACGTATAAATATATACGTAGTATATATTTTCCTTCCATGTTTGGTTGAATCTGAGTGGGAACCGCAGGCAGGTATGAGGCTGACTATAATAGATCACACTCTACTCGAGCTAACTGTAACTCCAGCACCGCCTCTTCTGAGCCACATTACAGAACACCAGCAGCTAACCAGCACCGCATGGCTGCAGCGTGTTTTGGGAGAGGAAGCAACAGCCTTCATGGATGTGGTTTAAAAAAACAAATGAATCCATTGTGGTGCCTCTCCCAGGCCTTGAGTAAAAACCTTGGGTTTTCATCAGATTCTTGGTGATTCCACTTTTGTTAACAATCAGACTCTGCCTTCCCTTTGGAGGTCCTTCTCCTCCAACCTCATAGCGGAGGTTTGCAGAGAGGAACTCAGATTGCCGGGCCAGCACAGACTGGCTGTAGAGCTTTCAAGAAGTCACCAGCCCAGGGCTTCCCCTGGTGGTGCAGGTGTTTGAGTGCAGCGCTGTGAAGCTGTCCACAGCCTCTGCAGCGCCAGTTACATCCTGGCCAGTGGGGGAGAATCCCACATGGGGTGGCAGACCTCTCCTGTCTCCCCCGCTGCTCCCCTCAGCAGTGTATTTCGTCAGTCAGCCTGTTCTGTTCTGGCTCTGTCTCTGGTGAATCCTCTCACCCTCCCGCGCATCTGGCCTGTACCCCGGTTCTTGTATGCATGAATAAATAAATCTTTAATAATAATAAAAAAAAGAAGTCACCAGCTCAATCAGAGCCATGGCCACTTGCTTCAATGATGGGAAAACTCCAGATACAAAGAGAAGGTAAGTGGTACACACTTGTGGAGTATGCATTTGGCAAAGGCAAGAGCAGAATCAGGTGGAACAAGAGAAAGAATCATTTGGGAGCTTCTGCAGACCTTTGAGATAGCCACATCTATCCCATAGAGCACTAGTGAGCTGCT